TGAGTGTAATATCATGGTTAAACATGCCTAGGAACACATTTGAATTGTTTGTGATAGGAATATGAGAATAGCTATTTTTCTACATGGGTATTATGGGTTTATTATGGTGGATACACATCCTAAGGACCATATTTGACCTATTTCTGAAATGATTATGGGTATGGTTTTTTGTTTACATAGAAATTTTGGGTGGAATATCATGGTAAACATTCCTAGGAACACATTTGACTGGTTTCTGATAAGAATATGAGAATAGCTATATTTCTACATTGGGATTATGGGTGGATTATTGAAGATACACATGGCAAGGACCATATTTGACCTGTTTCTCCTAAGAATATGGGTATAATTATTTTTCTATATGGAGATTATGGGTGGAATATCATAGTTAAACATGACTAGGAGAATGTGGATTCGCCTGCTATATTCCTACCCGACAGCTCAGATTAAATTATATGAGAGACATGTGGCATCCTTTCAGGTGGGTTAAGGCACCAGACAGAGTTGCTCGCTCTCGCCAGCTGTTTGCTCTCATGATGGAATCTCTAGCTGTGGCTCTTAGACGCTCCCTAGCGGTGGTTGGTATTTGGGTCGGGGTCCTGGAAGAAAATTTAGCTATGTATGTTGATGATCTCATTCTATTCCTTAATGATCCGGGCCCCTCTCTTAAGGAGACCCTAAAGATTATCTCAGAGTTCTCTGCCTACTCTGGGTTACATGTTAATTGGCGATAGTCACAAGTCTTACTTATTGACCCTGCTATACCTTTAGTGTGGGATAATCAAATTAAATATTTGGGAATTACGATCTCCCCTTCCCCTTCTGACTATTGTATACTGAACTTGGCCCCCTTGTTACATAACTTAAAAAATAAATTGAAAGCCCGGGACAATCTTCCAGTGACGTTAGTGGGTCGGATTAATATCTTTAAAATGAAATTGTTGCCGGCTTCTTATACCTGTCTGGATTCAGAATAAATATTTTCATTTGGTCAATACCTACCTCACTTCTTTTTTCTGGGGTTCGAAGCAGCCAAGATTTCACCTGTCAACGTGGCAGAGACCCTGGCAACAGGGAGGCTTGGCATGCCCTGATTTATTTAAGTATAATCTGGAGGCTATGCTAACACATGCTAATAATTGGTTAATCACAGATGAATCTAATGCATCAGTTGTATTTGAAGCCTCAAGTCTGGCCTCCTATGAGGCGTTGAGGAACCTTATCTACCGCGGCCCAGCGACTCCTCTTCCATTGACTGGGGTGATGAAAACAGTTTTACGGGCATGGTCTACAGCTCAAACAGGTCAGCTGGTTCCTGAGAGACTTCTCTCTCAACATACCCCATTATGGTGTAACTCTAGGTTGTCTGAATTTGCTTTGATCCCTGACCCATACATCTGGGCAGTGAAGGGCATTAAGTACATTGACCAAATCTCCTCTGGGGGAGAATTGCACACATTCGACAGCCTGAAACAACAGTATGGCCTCTCAAATACATTTTTGTTTAGATACTTACAACTTAGACATGCTTTTTGTACTCATTTCCAGTAACACCGGTTGCCTTTTATAGATCTGATTTGGAGACGTTACTTAGAGATAACACTTTAGGTAAACCTCTATCTAATATATACAGTGGATATAAAAAGTCTACACACCCCTGTTAAAATGTCAGGTTTCTGTGATGTAAAAAAATGAGACAAAGATAAATCATTTCTTTTAGGGGGAGAAGTATACATAAAAAACCTAAAATAATGTGGTTGCATAAGTGCGCACACCCTCTTATAACTGGGGATGTAACTGTGTTCAGAATTAAGCTATCACATTCAAAATCATGTTAAATAAGAGTCAGTACACACCTGCCATCATTTAAAGTGCCTCTGATTAACCTCAAATAAAGTTCAGCTGTTCTAGTAGGTCTTTCCAGACATTTTCTTAGTCGCATCCTACAGCAAAAGCCATGGTCCGCAGAAAGAATCAGAGGGATCTCATTGTTAAAATGTATCAGTCAGGAGAAGGGTACAAAAGAATTTCCAGGGCATTAGATATACCATGGAACACAGTGAAGACAGTTATCATGAAGTGGAAAAATTATGGCACAACAATGACATTACCAAGAACTGGACGTCCCTCCAAAATTGATGAAAAGACAAGAAGAAAACTGGTCTGGGAGGCTGCCAAGAGCCCTACAGCAACATTAAAGGAGCTGCAGGAATATCTGCCTAGTTATTTTTCTACATTTGGATTATGGGTGTATTATTGTGGATACACACATGGCAAGAACCATGTTTGACCTATTTCTGAAAAGATTATGGGTATAATTATTTTTATACATGGTGGTTATGGGTGGAATATCACGGTTAAACATGCCTAGGAACATATTTGACCCATTTCTGATAATATAAGAATAGCTATTTTTCTACATGGGGATTATGGGTGGATCATTGCAGATACACATGCCAAGGACCATATTTGACTTGTTTCTCCTAAGAATATGGGTATATTTATTTTTCTATATGGGGATTATGAGTGGAATATCGTGGTTAAACATGCCTAGGAACACATTTGAATTGTTTGTGATAAGAATATGAGAATAGCTATTTTTCTACATGGGGATTATGGGTTTATTATGGTGGATACACATGCCAGGGACCATATTTAACCTATTTTTGAAATGATTATAGGTATATTGTTTTTTCTACATGGGGATTATGGGTGGAATATCATGGTTAAATTTGCCTAGCAACACATTTGACTTGTTTCTGATAATAATATGAGAATAGTTATTTTAATACATGGGGATTATGGATGTATTATTATGGATACACATAGCAAGAACCTTATTTGACTTATTTCTGAAAAGATCATGGGCATAATTATTTTTATACATGGCGATTATGGGTGTAATATCATGGTTAAACATTCCTAAGAACATATTTGACCCATTTCAGATAATATGAGAATAGTTATTTTTCTACATGGGGATTATGGGTGGATCATTGCAGATACACATGCCAAGGACCATATTTGACCTGTTTCTCCAAGAATATGGGTATAGTTATTTTTCTTTATGGGGATTATCAGTGGAATATCATGGTTAAACACATCTGAATTGTTTCTGATAAGAGTATGAGAATAGTATTTTTCAATTTGGGGATTATGGGTTTATTATGGTGGATACACATGCCAAGGAACATATTTGACCTTTTTCTAAAATTATTATGGGTTTAGTTATATTTATACATGAAAATTATGGGTGGATTATCATGGCTAAATATGCCTAGGAACATATTTGACTTGTCTCCAATAAGAATATGAATAAGAATATGAGAATAGCTATTTTTTCCACATGTGCTAATGGGTGGATGATTGTGCATGCACATGCTGAGGAATATACTTTACCTTTTTCTAATAAGAATATGGGAATAGTTATTTTTCTGCAGTGGGATTATGGATTATGGAATATTGTGAAAACACATGCCAAGGAAGACATTTGACTTTTTTCTGATAAGAATATGAGAATAGCTATTTTTCTACATGGGGATTATGGATGGAATATTGTGGATACACATGCCAAAGACCATATTTGACCTGTTTCTGATAACAATTTGTGTATAGTTATTTTTCAATATGGGGATGATGGGTGGAATATCATAGTTATACATGCCAAGGAACACATTTGACCCCTTTCTGATAAGAATATGGGTATAGATATATTTGTACATGGGGATTATGGGTGGAATATCATGGTTAAACATATCTAGTAACACATTTGACCCATTTCTGATAAGAATATGAGAATAGTTATTTTTCTACATGGGTACTATGGATGTTTTATTGTGGTTTAACATGCCTAGGAACACATTTGATTTGTTTTGATAAGAATATGAGTGGTTATTTTTTCTATATGGGGTTTATGGGTGGATTATTGTGGATTCATATTCCAAGGACCATATTTAACCCGTTTCTCATAAGAATATGGGTATAGTTGTTTTTGTACATGGATATAATGGATGGAAGATCATGGTTAAACATGCCTAGGAACACATTTGACCTGTTTACGATATTAATATTAGAATAGTTATTTTTCTACATGGAGATTATAGGTGGATGATTGTGGATACACATTCCAAGGACCATATTTGACCAGTTTCCCATAACAATGTGGGTAAAGTTATTTTTCTACATGGGGATTATGGGTGGAATATCATGCTTAAACATGCCTAACAACACATTTGACATGGGGATTATAGGTGGATTTTGTGAATACACATGCTACAGACCATTATTATGATTATGGTTATAGTTACATGGGGATTATAGGTGGATTTTGTGAATACACATGCTATGAACCATTATTATGATTATGGTTATAGTTATTTTTCTACATGAGGATTATGGATGCATTATTGTGGATACACATGCCGAAAACTATAATTTGACCTATTTCTGATAGGAACATGCATATAAATATTTTTTCACATGGGGATAATAGGTGGAATATCATGTTTATACATCCTACATTTTACATTTTACCTTTTTAGATAAGAATATGGGTAAAATTATTTTATTTATAGGGATTATGGGGGCACTATCATGGGTACACATCCAGTTTAAAATATGTAACCTGTTTCTTATAGGAATTTGGGAATTATTATTATACAGGTTTCATATTGCGCTAACAGTTTGCACAGTATTTTACAATATGAGGGCAGACATTACAGTTAGAAATACAATTCAATACAGGAGGAATCAGAGGGCCCTGCTCATTAGAGCTTACAATCTAAAAGGGACAGACAGGTGATACAAAAGGCAATAATTGGAGGGGAATGAGCTGATGCAGAAAATAAATGTACAGTTGTTAGGTGGAGGAAGAACAGGCTTCTCTGAAAAAAAGGTTTTTCAGGGATCGCCTAAAAGTAGAATATAAATATTTTTTTATGTGGGTATTATGGGTACAGTATCCTGGTTACAAGTCCCAAGCAGGGGTGGACTGAAAACTCATGGGGCCCCCGGGCAATAGGGGATCATGGGGCCCCTGTGTCCTTGCCCAAACTCAAAAAAGCCTATGAAAAAGGTACCAGGGGCATCTCATGGGGCCCCTTACTGACCCCGGGCCCTCGGGCAGTGCCTGAGTTTCCAAATGGTCAGTCCGCCCCTGGTCCCAAGTAATATACAGTCATGGCCAAAAATTTGGCACCCCTGCATTTCTGTCAGATAATGTACCACTTCGCCCACAAAATCATTGCAATTACAAAAGTGTAGGCATTGTCATGTTTATTTCTTTTGTTTGTATTGGTGGAGAAACAAAAAGCCAAATAGGTCAAATATGGTCCATGGATAGAGAGAAAACAGGTGGCGCACACACCTAGTGCATTATCCAAGGTTTATTGTAGGAATTAAATCATAAAAACATACTCACAGACGAAGCATGTATCTAAAAAGCATAGAAAAATGACAATGGCCACAACTGCGGGCAAGGTGTTCTCACTGTCAGTGCGGTCAAATGGCTGGCGCGTTTCGGGGACGAATCCCTTTCCTCAGAGCTGATGACCGACCTGTATGGAGGTCAAGTAGTAAAAAATAACCAGGGCTAGATGCCTTGGGAGCAAAGCTCCACCTCCTCTACTTGTTATAAGATGAGGAGTTGGAGGGGGTTATTTAAAGTGCAATCTTTTGTAGTTTTTATAAACGCATATACATACATATATACACATGCATACACACATATACAAAGAGATATGCATGCACTAAGAAACAAAGCAAATAAAAAATTATTAAAAATACATGAATATAGCACCTGCAAATGTAAATAAATAGAAAACATTTTTTTTTTTTTTTTTTTTTTAAATAAAATATATAAAAAAAAAATAATAATGTATATGAAAATAATCATAGTAGTAACACTGGCAATGATGATAAAAATAATAATATTAATAAACATCATAAAAATAAAAGTAAAAAGACTAGTGGATAATGGATGATTATCAGTTCAAAGTAGTGAGTGTGGACTGTAGACCACTTATATCTCTTCAAACGTGAAGCGGTGAGCAAACTGTCAGCTTCACAGTTATGGCTGTGCATATCCTGAGGCGCTGGAGAGTACATACGCTAAAATATGGTCCATGGCATGTGTATTCATAAAAATCCACCCATAATCCCCATGTAGAAAAATAACTATTCTCATATTCTTATGAGAAACAAATCCACCCATAATCCCATGTAGAAAAATAACTATTCTCACATTCTTATCCAAAACAGGTCAAATGTGCTTCTAGCAATGTTTAATCTTGATATTCCACCTATGTTCCCCATGTAGAAAAATAACTATTCCCATATTGTTATGGGAAATGGGTCAAATATGGTCCTTGGCATGTGTATCCACAATCATTCACCCATAATCCCCATGTAGAAAAATAACTATACTAATCTTATTATCATAAACAGGTCAAATGTGTTTCTAAGCATGTTTAACCATGATATTCCATCCATAACCCCTATGTAGGGAAACAACTGTACCCATATTCTTATGAGAAACAGGTTAAATAAGGTCCTTGGCATGGGAATCCACAATAAGACACCCATAATCCCCATATAGAAAAAATAACTATTCTCATATTCTTATCAGAAACAAGTCAAATGTGTTCTTAGGCATTTTTAACCATGATATTCCACCCATAATCCCCATGTAAAAAAAAAACTATACACATATTGTTATCAGAAATGGTGCAGATATGGTCCTTGGCATGTGTATCCACCATAATAAACCCGTAATCCCCATGTAGAAAAATAGCTATTCTCATATTCTTATCACAAACAATTCGCATGTGTTCCTTGGCATGTTTAACCATGATATTCCACCCATAATCCCCATGTAAAAAAAATAATGATGCACATAATCTTTTCAGAAATAGGTCAAATATGGTTCTTGTCATGTGTATCCACAATATTACACCCATAATCTCCATGTGGAAAAATAACTATGTTTCATATTCTTATCAGAAAGTGGTCAAATGTATTCCTAGGCATGTTTAACCATGATATTCCACCCAAAATCCCCATGTAGTAAAATAATTATGCCCACAATCTTTTCAGAAATAGGTCAAATATGGTTCTTGCCATGTGTAGCCACTCATAATCCCCATGCAGATAAATAACTATTCTCATATTTTAATCAGAAAAGGGTCAAATGCATTCCTATGCATGTTAAAAAATAATGTTCCACACATAACCCCATGTAGAAAAATATATTTTCTCATATTCTTATCAGAAACAAGGCATATGTGTTCCTAGGCATGTTTAACCATGATATTCCACCCATAATCCCCATGTAGAAAAATAATTGTGCCCATAATCTTTTCAGAAATAGGTCAAATACGGTCCATCCCATCAGTGTCACCTATCAGTGTCCATCAGCGCAGCCTATCAGTGTCCATCACTGCAGTCTCATTAGCGCACATTGGTGAAGGAGAAAAATCACTTATTTACAAAATTTTATAACAAAAACTAAGAAAAAACTTTTTTTTCCAAGATTTTCAGTGGTTTTTGGTTTAAGAAAAAATAAAAAACCCCGAGGTGATTAAATACCACCAAAAGAAAGCTCTATCTGTCACAAAAAAATAATAAAAATTTCATATGGGTACAGTGTTGCATGACCGCGCAATTGTTATTCAAAGTGCGACAGCGCTAAAAGCTGGAAATTGGCCTGGGCAGGAAGGGGGTATAAGTGCCCTGTAGGCTAGTGGTTAAACATGATATTCCACTCGTAATGTACATGTACAAAAATAACTATACCCATAATAATTTTATAAATAGGTCAAACATGGTCCTTGTTATGTGTATCTACAATCATCCGCCTATAATCCCCATGCAGAAAAATAACTATTCTCATATTCTTATGAGAAACAAATCAAATGTGTTCCTTGGCATGTTAAAAAACTATATTCTACCCATAATCCCCATATAGAAAAGTAAATATACCCATATTCTTATGAGAAACAGGTCAAATATTGTCCTTGGCATGTGTATCTGCAATCATCCACCCATAATTCCCATGTAATAAAATAACTATTCTCATATTTTGATCAAAAGAAAGGGGTCAAATGTGTTCCTAGGCATGTTAAAAAACAAAATTCCTCCCATAATCCCCATATAGAAAAAATAGCTATTCACATATTCTTATCAGAAACAAGTCAAATGTGTTCTTAGGCATGTATAACCATGATATTCCACCCATATTACTCATGAAGAAAAATAGCTATATAATTATTTCTGAAATAGGTCGAATATGGTCCTTGACATGTGTATCCACAATAATCCACCCATAATTCCCATGTAGAAAAATCAATATTCTTATGAGAAATAGGTCAAATGTGTTCCTAGGCATGTTAAAAAAAACCCATTCCACTCATAATCGCCATGTAGAAAAAAGCTATTCTCATATTCTTATCAGAAAGGTGTCAAATGTGTACCTAGGCATGTTTAACTATGATATTCCACCCATAATCCCCATTTAGAAAAATAACTATACCCATAATCTTTTCAGAAATAGATCAAATATGATCCTTGGTATGTGTATCCACAAAAATGCACCCATAATCCCCATGTAGAAAAATAATGATATGCATTTGCTTATCCGGAATAGGTTAAGTGTAACCATAATATTCCCCCCATAATCCCCAAACATAACAGTGATTTTACTCATATTTTTTTATCTAAAATGGTGAAATGTATTTTGTATGGGATGTGTAACTACTATATTCAATCCATAATCCCCATGCAGATGAATAATAACCACATTGTCGTCAGAAATTTATACATTTATTCCTTGGCGTTTGTAATTTTTAATCTTTACTTTTTAAAAATCATTTTACAGGTTCCTAACAAAACATTTCAAAATATAGTGCTTTACACATACGTGTACTGTATGAAATCAGTAAATCTATATAATGTTTCCTGTTTATTTCTGTAAAATTTACTATGATGCCATTTTACAGCTGCACATATATCAGTAAGTGAAGAGTTAGCCACTACTACCATGCAACAAGAACCATTAGCCACTACTACCTGCAACATAGTATCAAGCAGTGCAGAAAAGAAAAACATATTTTGAGTAACAACAACATCATTACCATGAATGTGTGTAAAGATATACTGACACCTAATGAGAGTGTTGAGCATTGCAGCCAATAATTCAATCATCCCAATATGCAGTTTAGTACATCCCAAACCTCTCTGCAGACAGGAATAGCATTCAGAGAGGCCCAGGGGCGGACTGACAACTCATGGGGCCCCCGGGCAATAGGGGATCATAAGGCCCCTGTGTCCTTGCCCAAACTCAAAAAAGCCTATGAAAAAGGTACCAGGGGCATCTCATGGGGCCCCCTACTGACCCTGGGCCCTCGGGCAGTGCCTGAGTTTCCAAATGGTCAGTCCGCCCCTGGAGAGGCCTATACTTCCTTAGGCTCCTTTTACACAGAGTAGAGTCGGCTGCATTCAGCAGGGGATCAGTCAGCAGATCCCTGCTGAAAATGAGCTGAACAGGATGAATGCCAGTTTTTTTTTTTACATTCAAGCCCATTCAGTTTGTGCCCAACAAACAGAGGCGAACCTGTGACAGCTCTATGGGTGGCCGGTGTAAAGGGACTCCCTGTTCACTTACATCAGGCCACCTTCAATCAGTTATGTTTAGATTTGGAAAAATTAAAAAGGGAAATGTCCTTTTTTTTTTAGACCTGAAGGTCCGTTTACACCCTCCTGTCCATAAGGCTGCATAAAGCTTCTGATCAGGTCTGCCTGAAAAACTGACAGGTGGACCTGATCGGAATATTCGCATGAAAGGGCCCTTACTGTGTATACAAGTGATATTGCAAAAGACTTCTTTGTGCCCATCATATGTTTCATGGTATCAGCTGTACCAATTCTGATCTCACTGCCACACAAAAGGGGAGGTAATAGAGATTAAAATATTTCTGTTTTCTATGTTCTATCATTTTTAGAGCATTTATAGAGTCAGTTTAACAAGTTTAAAATATTATTTACCCACTTTATGTACACTATTGTAACTAAACAGTGTCCTTAATGGAGAATGTGGATGTAATGTGTTGCTGACCTCCAGTGTGGGGGGGGGGGGGGGGTTTAAAATTCCTACAACAATTATGGTGGGATTGGGTTTTTTTGGGGGGAGGGGGGTTAAAGTAAGTGCCACTGACAAATCAAACTGTGGGATAGTTTTTAGGGGTGGGAGTTTAAAGTTATATTAAAGGTAATATATAAAATAAAAAAACAACAACCAACATGTTATACTTACCTGCTTTGTGCAGTGGTGTTGCACAGAGCAGCCCTGATCCTCCTCCCCCCCTGATCCCAGGAAAGGAATTGGGTAAACATTAAACTGGCCCCTGACAACTTGCCAAGAACATGCATCTAGCAGACTTCTCCCTTCTAGGCCCTGGGGGTGTGGAAGTACTCACACTCACACTGTCCTTGTCCTGCAGCTGTGGACAGAACTGATTTCAGACTTTTCTGGGCTGGTTCTTTTTCCAGGCTTTACAGGCAGTCATTTCCCTGTGGACTGCAGGGCAGTGGAGCTCCCACTTTCAGCATCCTCCTCCAGCCTGGCACTTCAATCCTCCATCTTCCACTCAATTCCAGACTCTGACTCTAGCATGGCTCTCTCATATTTATGTGCTGGTCTACCACTCTACCAGGGCATCTTAGCCTGGTATTGGTCAGACTCCCATGAATATGCAGATTGAGGTCTCCACCCTTCCACCCACTGGCTTCTGGAAGCTTCCATTGGTCCCCAGAACCAGGTGGAGGCAATATAGTTCCAACCTGCTGAGTAACCCAGCCTGACTTCACACTGAACCCACAGTAAATTCAGGCTCACTCACCACCACAAGCCAAAAAATAAATTTACCTCACAATACCTCACAATAACCAAGTTGGCGCTACATAAATATCAGCATGTTTCCTCATTTCTGAAAATAATGGCAAAAATTCAATCAGTATAGTGTCCACTTTCTAAAAAGGGGTCATTTTGGAGGTGTTTATATTAAGCTGGAATTTTTATTTGTTTTTTTTTTAATTTTCAGTCTTTTAACTTTTATATAATGAAAAATAAAAACCCAGTTGTTATTAAATACCACCAAACAAGAGCTCTATCTGTCTCAAAAGAATGATATCAAATTTATTTGGGTACAGTGTTGCATAACTGAGAAACTGTCAGTCAAACTATCACAACACTGAATATTGAACTGGACAGGTAGCGGTTAATGAAAAGAAAAATGGTGCAAGAAAAAAATTTACAAAAAAGACATTGTAAAAATAGTTTGCAAGCAACAGTAAAATGAACGGGCTATAATATTAAGTTGTTGTACAAATTTGATTCTGACAGAGTCAGTGTGCTGAGCAAAGTGTGCTGAGAAGTGTTGAAGTGTTTCATGACAGTTCAGACCTGAATCCTACAGAGATTGCACAGGCAACCCAACTCTTCCAGGATGGCAGACCAATATGGGCCATTGCCAGGTTTGCTGTGTCACCCAGCACAGTCTCAAGAGCATGGAGGAGATTCTAGGAGACAGGCAATTAATCTAGCCACTTGCCTACCAGGAATTTATACTCCCTTCGTGCCCAGGCCAATTTTCAGCTTTCAGTGCTCTCACACTTTGAATGACAATTGCGCAGTCATTCAACATTGTACCCATATGAACTTTTTATGATTTTTTTTTACACACATAGAGCTTTCTATTGGTTGTATTTAACTGCCACTGTGTTTTTTATTTTTTGCACTATAAACAAAGAAAGAGCAAAAAATTTGAATAAAAAAAGATTTTCTTCGTTTCTATTATAAAATGTTGCAAACAGGTAATTTTTCTCCTTCACTGATGTGCGTTGATGAGGCTGCACTGATAGGCAGCCCTGATGGCCACTGATAGGCTGCACTGATGAGGTGGCACTGATGAAGTGGAACTGGTGGGCAATGATGAGGAGGCACTGATGATGCCGCACTGATATGCGGCAATGATGGTCACAAATAGGTGGCACTGATGGGCAGCACTGACTGACGGCACTGACTAGCAGCACAGAATGATAGCACTGACTGATGGGCACAACTGCTGAGCAGCACTGATGGGTGGCACTGCTGGGCACTGGTGGGTGGCACTGTTGGGCACTGATCATCAGGGTACTGATCGATCATCAGTGCCCTAATGATCAGTGCTGATCTGCTCTGTGACAGCTGCTGGTTATTGGCAGTACTTTCCTCACACTGTGACAGCGTGAAGAAAGTGCTGCCTATAACTGGCAACTGTATTTACTCCGTGATCTGCTGTGTCATTGGACACAGCTGATCACATGGTAAAAGGCCATTGTGATTGGCCTTTTACCTCATCATGTGATCAGCTGTGTTGGTAGGACACAGCGACCACGGAGATCGCTGGCTTTGCGACGCTGGGAGCGCGTTCTGGGAGGACGTCATCTAACGCTTTCCCAGAACTGAATAACCACACTATAGCCGTCATTCTGCTATAGTGCAGTTACCAAATGGCTAGGAGAGCTGGACAGGGCCGTAGAAGCTCCTTAACCCATCAGCAGGACCGGTATCTGCTCCTTTGTGCAAGAAGGAACAGGATGAGCACTGCCAGAACCCTACAAAATAACCTCCAGCAGGTCACTGGTGTGAATGTCTCTCACCACCAATCAGAAACAGACTTCATGAGGGTGACCTGAGGGCTCTAGTGGGCCCTGTGCTCACTGCCCGGCACCATAGAGCTTGACTGACATTTGCCATTGAACACCAGAATTGGCAGGTCTACCACTGGCACCCTGTGCTTTTCACAGACGAGAGCAGGTTCACCCTGAGCACATGTGACAGATGTGAAAGGGTTTGGAGGAGCCGTGGAGAACATTATGCTGCCTGTAACATCATTCAGCATGACCATTTTGGTGGTGGGTCAGTGATGGTCTGGGGAGGCATATCCATGGAGGGACGCACAGACCTCTGCAGGCTAGACAATGGCACCCTGACTGTCAATAGGTATGGGGCTGAAATCCTTGGACACATTGTTAGACCCTACGCTGGTGCAGTGGGTCCTGGGTTCATCCTGGTGCATGACAATGCCCGGCCTCATGTGGCGAGAGTATGCAGGTAGTTCCTGGAGGATGAAGGAATTGATACCATTGAATGGCCCCCATGCAAGCCTGACCTAAATCCAATAGAACACCTCTGGGATGTCATATTTCAGTCTATCCGACTCAGTGATGCCCTGGTCCAGATCTGGGAGGAAATACCCCAGGACACCATCCGTTGTCTCATTAGCAGCATGCCCTGACATTGTCAGGCATGCATATAAGCACGTGGGGGCCATACAAACTACCATTTTGAGTCACTGCAATGAAATTTCAGCAAAATGGACTAGCCAGCTACATCATTTTTTTTACTTAGATTTTCGCGGTGTCTTTGAATTCAGTTCTCTGTAGGTTGATAATTTTAATTTCCATCAAACAATGGGGAATCCGTATAGATATCCAGCATGATATTTTTCCCCATTGAGATTTGATGTGTTTTCAAAGTGTTCCTTTAATTTTTTTGAGCAGTGTACATTTAGATAGATGCTTGGTATGAAGTTATCACGAGCTATTATATCAAGATTTATGAATGATGTCTTATGAGATGGAAATTTTATGACAGGGCTTCATATAAGGTCTTTTGAGGCTTACAAATCTCCTAAGTACTGTTTATTCAACATGAAGTGCTGTGTTGGTTGTTTTAGTGTGACAGTTTATCTTGAGCCATTATCACTGAAGATTGTTTTTGGACATTGAGCACCTTTGGAGTATATCAACCAAATTGTGGACTGGACTTTTGTACATAATATATTTTATTCACATTTATATATGTACTTTATATTGTGGTATTTTTAGTTAGTATGATTTTTGATACATGTTAACGCATGTAATTTGTTTTCACATGAATTCATATTCCATTTGAAACTGTTAGATCATATTCCACTGAAGTTGGAATTGCACATTAACGCATGTCAGTAGTGCATTTCTTTTGATTATATTATGATTGTGCTGCACTTTTTCAAGGAATAATATTATCATTGGTGCTGGTGTGCATGTCAGTGTTGGCTGCAATCAGTTTTTTTTATTTCTGTTTTTATGTGTACTATCACTATCACTGCACTATCACAGGGTAGTGCAGAAACAACAATACTTTATTTCAAGAATAAAAGATTGCCATATTTTAAGTAATATGTTTAGTTCCTATGTTGTCAGCACCATCTAGTGTCCATAATGCATTTTTTCCAGAAATATCTCAATCAGGGAAAAAAAAATTTATGGCCGCTAGATTTTGTTGGTGACATAGGAACTACACATTTATGGCAATTTTTGTTCTGACTGTGCGGATCTTTGGCAAATTCGTATAGTGAATG